TTTTCATTTTCATTTTCTTATTTTCTTATCAATATCATAAAACACTTTTTTGTCAGACTTCTTCACTTGCAGCTTAGGTGCAACTTTAATAACTAAGAAGAATTTAACCTAAGGAAGCTAAAGAATTTCAAAAGTAACGTACAAACAAAAAATTGAATAAATGAAGAAGTTCGATTGGCTTGCACTTATTTATTTCTTAATGAATTGTATTTTTTTTTTTTGCATTTTTTACAGTTCATTAAAGGAAGAAAGTAAGAATTAATATTTTATGTAAAATTTTTTTCTCCATTACTAAATATATATACAGGAATGTTGTAGGAATTTAACATGATTTCTTCTTTCTTATATATCTAATTTTGCTCATCACTATAGATATTCATACTTTATATGCCTGCATGTATGCGTATAGAAGAGTAAGAAGCATTAAAGTCCATAGCTTACAGTTCTACACATTATTTAAAAATTTGCCGAAACTTTCAAATTGTTTTTATCTTTTATTTCGTCTATCTATTCACACTAAATACATTTTAACGGAAAAATTAAAGTTAATCTGCTTAAAGTGAAATCAAATAAAAATAATTGCATTTTTCACGAAATCCCTGCTTCGCTTATTATTATTTAACATTTTGACGAACGTTTACTTTTTTATTTAAAAGTCGAACTTTGGTGTCTTCTCTGCGATACCGAAATTATTGCCAAAGCCAAAATGAAAGGTCGGCTAGATATTTCATCATACATTAGTTTAGACAATTCAAAAAGGCATTCATCGGTTAGTTCGCCTAATCTTATCAGAGATACATTGAGTTTGTCGTTTCTTCCTTGCAAAAAGGAAGACTCATTTTCAATTTCAGTATTGGATTCGGTGTGTAAAATCAAACCTCTTTTAAAATAAGTTAAAATACTATAAGGGGAGACGGGCAAATCTTAAATACGTTATATTATTTTGCTTAATACAGTTATTCATACAATTACTTTTTAAAATAAGGCCCTAATCGAGATATGATCGAAAAACTGATCCTATTCTAACCGTTTTCAAAAGCGTTCGGTCTTTGATCAAACCAAGTCGGAAAATTATTCTGAATCGATCGGTATATTGTATGTATGTATGTTTAATATCAGAAAACATGATGGACGGACGGACAGACATAATGGGAATGGGTCAATCCAGAAAATTATTCTGAATCGATCGGTATATTGTATGCATGTATGTTTAATATCAGAAAATATGATGGACGGACGGACAGACAGAGAGGAATGGGTCAATCCAGAAAATTATTCTGAATCGATCGGTTTAATAAAAGATGGTTCTATATCGGATACCATCCGCATAAACTTAATATACGGTTGTACCACACAAGTGATGTAGAGTATGAAAAATTCGTTACAGAAATATTTAGCTATATGCGGTATTGCTACAGCAGCGCTTTACCTTATATGCATTTCTAATTGCATGCAACGGCTGTGACTTGATCGTAAGAGGGTGATGTTGTAGAAAGGTTCACTGTTGTATTCATTGAAAATATGTTTGGTTATAAGAACTTTTCGTTCAAGATTACCTTCTCCAAGATCGGTAGTATACTCTCTTCCCTGCCGGCTTTTGTGTTAGTGTCTTCAGTTTGTTAGCAATTACAATTGTATCGCGTCATCAAGAAACCGCGTTGATTTTCAAAGTCGATTTGCGATGATGGCTAAGAAGCCAGATTGTACCAACAACTCTTCAAACAAACAGACGGAGAGAATTGGATTGATTTGGATAAATAATATTGAAGTTTTTTTTTTTTTTTTTCTGACCTATAAAAGAACTGCTTTAGGGTTTTACACAGGGTGTGCCAAGATGTTCTCTTCAAAGAGAAAATATAAAATAATTAAAAGTCTTTATCGGAATTTGCTCATTACGTCTGTCCGTCTGGCTTGCTTGCGTTCAATATATAGCGCGCAAATTTTTGAGATGTTGTAATGAAATTGGATACGGTGACGTGTGATTAGCTCAGGGATGAACACTATTGAAAATGGTTGCGGATCGGAGTAATTTTTCGATTCTTATTTTGAAAATTCGTTATATGGGTAACTGTAATAATATATTCACAAAACAATGGGGATTGGGTATGGTTTTCAAGTAACTTTGATAAGTAACTTATGATATGTGACATCTTCGTATCCTTCCTTGAAGGTATTGTTCGCGATCTGTTGCAAAAACGGACTGAACGGGTGAAACGACTGTCTTTCATGGAGTTGTATTGTGTCATGCAAATATATTGAAGAAGCAGAAGCTTTCGTGAGGCATTGCATTAGAAATTTCTGAACGGATTCGAATGCGTGAGACTATGTGCCTTTAGCGAGCAATAAAAGATTGCGGAACGCGTCATCTTTACATGTCATAGGTTTATGGTGTATCGTTAGCTAAAAGAAAGACTAAGGCTAAGAAGCTTCGTTATTTGTAGTATCATGAACAATTTGGCTAAAACAGAATCACAAGAAATGAAAATAGAGTTGAAATTAGAAATAGTTGGATGTATTGAAATTCCTTATATTTCATACAACATGATTTGACGATAATTACTGCTATGAACCTTTGGCAACTAATACGCAATGGTAACAGAGGAAGGAAAAAATTCAGTGCCACAAATTCTGCATTCCATTGACGGCGAGCAGATATCGCGTTTCTAGCACGTAAGAAAAAATTAATTATATAATAGCGTTCTTACATTTATACGCTATGTCACGTTAACACAATATAAACAATATATGAGGAAATGCTTTATTTAAAATGCAACAAAAATCTATCGCCTTGAACTGATGTATGCATTAATTTCTTGCAACAATTCTTTAAAGTATTTATCAATGAGAGATGAACTATACTTAGTTTATTTGTAGGAGGACGAAAAGGACATAATATTTATGAGTATTTGCTGGGAAGGAGAGGGAGGGGGAGGGGGAGAGGGGGAGGCGCCTTTTAAAATTTTAAACTTTAAAAGATCATTCGTTTCAATATCATCTTCGATACTTCCTGCACTATCATAATCATAGACAGGATCATTCCAATCACAAAGACCTACGAATTTTTCATTCTTTCTATAAAAACATTTCGATGCTGTTGGACGTGCTTTCGTATACTCACGTTCATCCAAGAAGTTCGTAAAATCATAATTGCATATCATTACGAAATTTAATGTAATAATGTTCGGAAGATCGGAAAGCGCAACAACCGCACAGCCAACACGATGCACATGATCGGCCATCAATGTGAGTGAAATAATCAATTATTTTACTGAACATAAAGATTTTTTTTCGGTTTTCTTAACACCTTCACGGTTTCGCGTATTTTTTGGAACTTATCCCTCTGGATGAGGAGGTTGATACGAATCGTTAAATGACTGATTTGCGTTTATATGCTCCCTAAACTAATTTACAATGAAATTTTTTTTCATATGTCATGAGTGTGATTTTAATTTCACGTCTTATTCAGTAATAGCCAATATTTTGGCGGCTATAATGGAAACGTTGCGTGTTATGGCATTGACCATGAGCGAATTTGCAACGTTTAGCATGCAACACCGCCAAGTATGCTAATTCATTTTCCCACTTAAGTTGCGGCATATGCGAGGCACTTTTGTAACCGGTCACTTGACCCGTGGCTATGCGTGAACGCGCTAAATTATGCAAATCCAAAATGAGATTACGACGACGTTCACTCATATAAAGTAGATGTGGTTTTCTACCGCAAGCCGTATCGAAATTGCCATGATTTTGGCAGGCAATGTGCGGCAGTTGGTGTGTATGGCTGCCAGTTGAACAATTCGCACAATGACGGCTGGCAATATGGGTACTCTGATGGTGTTGTTGTGGTGGTGTGGCTCGTCGTGTGGCTCGATGTTTTCAATGTAATTACATTTGCCGCTTTTGCTTTTACTACCATTTTGTTATCCTCTGCCTTTGCCTTTGCTTTTGCCTTTACTATTATCGCTTTTGTTGTTATTGCATTTGATATTTCTGCTATTGTCGTTCTTGTTGTTGTTATTATTGTTGCTGTTATATTAAATAAATTTTCAAATTTTTTCAAAGCTTTTCATATCCTGTCCGAAGTTTTGTTGTAACAATAACAAACCGATTGTTAGGAATTTAATTGAAAAATTTCGCATTTTTATTGGATTTGAATTGTTAGCACGTTTCGCTCTTATTGGTTTTGCGTTTACTATTATATACTGAATTTTTATTATATATGCATACATATATGTATACAAATTCGTTTTGTTTAATGACGGTTGCTTGTTCTCCAGCACCAGCCAGTTGCAAACTGATTTTATTTACCTGCAATTATTGTGTTTTTCTCATAATAAAAAAAAAAAAAAAAAAAAAAAATAAATAAAAAAAAAAAAACCAAAAATTTCAAATTTAATTTGCTTAGCATTACATTCGATTATGCCATACAATAGCTTTTATTAACATAATTGGCAACATATTGATGAAGTGTATAGAATGATGTCTGAACACTAAAGATTAAGTAAAAATACATTGAAAAATTATTAACCCTTGGAGGGTCAATTTGAGCACTATGAAAACGGGAAACGGAGTATTTTATATATATATATATGTAATGTAACATTATTCCAACTTACTAGAGGTCACTAGTGTATTGATGTTTGAATTCGAAATCGATTTTCAATGCTCTGAATATTATCTGGCTTTAGTGACATATTTCGCGCAGCCACGAATCAAATAAGTTTTCAGAGCAGCATTGTTCTATTTATATAATCTGATGCAGTGTCTTCTCTTTTTCAGTGTCAGAAGTTTCAGACAATTTCTATGCAACGCAATATAACTGCAATTATTTGTGCAGTAATTGAAAGTTTGAAACATTTTAAAGCACCTCAGCCCTTCGGATGGAGTCTAATCCTATACTTCTTTTTTGGCATGGCTTAACGTTAATCTATATTATGATATTTTATTTGTTTGTTTGTTTTTTTACTTTTAATAACTTGACTATAATCAAAAGCAATGATCTTAAAATCATTTCAAATATCTTTTGTTAGGAGACCTTCTGTACACTTAGTCACTTGAAAAGTTCGTGAAAATCTTTAAAAGAAAACTAAACACATTATCTAGTTTCGATCGTCATACTAACAAATATTAAACTTTATATGTAATTAATTACTTTCAAAAAAAAAAAAAAAAAAAAAAAAACATTCGTTCGTACTAAAGTGATGATAAAATGCGTGCATGAAACGTGATTTAACGAAGAAAGTAAATAAAATCTCTTCGTGTTAAGAGTCGCAAAGGTGTTCTTGTCATTGTCGAATTGCAGTAAACATTGTTGAACTGTCAATTGTATTTATTATATTACTTTTAAATGCCCAAAAAAAAAAAAATGTATTATAACATAACTTACTTGTCGTACTTTACTGCGCATTCTAGATGGCGTTCGTGTGGATGTATGTTAGATCCATGATGATTTCTCACGGAGGATACACTCTTTATTATTTATACCCATCTATAGAGAAATGTTTTTCAAATTGATTTAATTTTCTTTGTCCGTCTGTCCGTTTAATGTCTATTCATGTAGTTTTCTGTTCCAACTAACAAGTTATAATTTTAAAGATACTTTGGATATAGCGACTAACGTGTTTTATGTTCAAGGATCAATCCCACTGAAAATGCCTTATCTTGGAAAAATTTTTTATATGAAAAGAATTTCATAATTATTTCAACAAATGTCGCTAAGTAATAGTAGTTGGGCACGCGTTGGACCGCATGAGCCAACTTCCTTATAAACGATCTTACAAAAAATGAGCTCTTGTACGGCAATCTAATTTTTAATACTTAACACACAAGTTAACTATACCTAATTTGGACTACATGAATCTATTTTTGTGACGACTGCTCGTACAAAAATGAAAAGCAAACAGTAGGTCAAAAATAGTGAAGGGTCACCATGAAGATTAAATGCCTTTGTATGGAAGTCAAGTGTACTTATGTAATTTTCGGTATTTCCCCGTAAAAATAAATGAAAAATTCTATTAAGCGAAATGGCGTAAGGTGTTTAAGTTCCGGTCTGGCTTGACTATAACCTTTTTTTTTATTTATATATATATTTTTATTGTTTTTTTTTTTTTTTTTTTTTTTTTTTCTTTTAATTTATTGTCTATATGTGTGGGTGCTGTGTGGATAAATCCTTTAACTAAGTATAGAAATTTTTGTAAGGAAAATATTCAACTTACAGACATACAGACACAGACACACAAGGACTTTTCAAAAGAAAAATATATGAGAAAAAAAAAACGCTGTAATGAGCCATGCCGCACCGTTATTTGCGCCACAAAAGGTGTCAGCTATAAAAAATATTGAACTCCTCTAATATTTCAAAAATTAGGGGCGGCGGGTAATGATGATATATAAATCTTATTGGAAAGAATATAAGGGATGAAAAACAAGTAAGAAAATTTTATTTGATTATCGACGAACTTTGTATACCCATCACCATGACCCGAAAATAATGGAAAACGATTACATTTTTGTACTCCATAATATTGGTTGATTTTTTCCATTCTCAGAACAAAAGTGGTGATATTTATAAGTTATGTAAGATGTTGCACTTTATGATCGGCAAATACAGAGGCTCACAGTTTTTGCTACATACACGTACGGGCGTTGGAAGTGTGTTCTTTGAAAAGTTTAGGCGTAAGTGGCAGACGCTATCTTCCTGTAAAAGAATTCATACATCATATGAAGATTTTGAAGCATACTTATGTGCGCTATAAATACAATTATGACATACTATAAAATTAAATAGGCGTGGCTGATTTTGTCCATTTTTGTAGAGATACTACAGCATCGTCTCAGAGAATGAATAAACCGGTCAAATTTTTGTAGACTATCAGATGAGTAATGACCAACTTTTTACTCGTTTTGAAAAGCAGAGGAGCCTTCATCTTACTTCAGTGCACTAGGTGCGTCCTTGGACCGATTTGGCCACTTTTTCAATACCACTTTCATGCTTGCAAAACCTCTTAATGTTTCTGATAAACTTGAAGAGGTCGGCTTCGGGACATGTTTAGAACGCACAGATTTAGAACGGACAGATGGACAGATTTAGCAATTTGTTGCGAATCAAGAATATATATGCTTTGTGAGATGTTTGAAGCTCCCTTCTGGGCGTTGCAAACGTTTTGACAAAATGAATATACCTCTCATCCTTGGTTGGTGAGTATAAAAAGGCATGCTTTCATTCATATTTACATTCATTCATCTACTATACGTATGTCATAAATTTTATTGATAAATGTATTTGTATGTTTGCACGTCTCGGAATGATTTATGATTTCTTATGCATTCGTATTAATGATTAGTTCCTGATGACGGTTATTATCATAAATTTACGTACACACATATTAATGTAATTAAATGTTTGTAAAGAGCATCGGTATTGAGATGAGAATGAGCAATAAAGCAAAATATTTATACGGAGTATGAAGCGAATTTTGAGTATCTACTATATCTCTATATCTGTAGAATATATATATATATATATATACATATATATATAAATTGCATTATATTCATGTAATTTAATATTTTAACTATTGTTAGACTGTGGACAAGTAATTTACGCCCACTTTTATACCATTGCACCGCAGGTTGCTCTGTCTAAGTCTATACTCTAGACCTTTTGCGGTACAAGAATATATATATATATATATATATATATATATATATTCGTGCGAATGCATGCAGCATTCCGAAGCACTTGAGATAGAATAAACGATTCTTTATACCGACCTAAGTGGAATCACTTATTGCATCAATATAAGCTTGTCGGCCCGTTTGACTTTTGTTCAATCTACAGCTCGCAAATTTGGATCTTCTTATAATCGGAACTTCTTATATAACGCTATACTTTGAAAAGTCGTCATATAAATAACCGTAGGGTGATCCAGGTTATTTTATGATTGGCTGCAACCCGCTTTAATCTACTTATAGATAGACTTTGAAAAACAAATATGTGAAAATTGCTTATGAATGCTTCTCTCTGAATAATCCCTGAATAATATTTCGCTCATTATTATCGAAAACTTACTACAAATTCAGTATAAAGTCACTAAGTAAACGAAGCCTGAAATTGGCATACCACTGTTATATTTCAAGCGGAATAATCACCTTAGTATGCTCTTCGATTGTGAGTATACAAGAAAAGGAAAGAAAAAATACTAAAATAATAAATAATAAAAACAAAAAAAAAAATGGCAAATAAGACGTCGTATTAAATATAATTAATAACCTGATGAACATATTGATGAGAGAATTAGTAATGAGTAATATTTGAGCGATTTATTGCCAATAAGATGAATGAGAAAAAAGGTCACGTTGAAGTCACGTTAAGTGAATTCTTTACACATTTAAAATCAAACTATACGTCGTTGATCATTTTTCCACTTGAAAATAAAAAAAAAAAAAAATAGCACATAAAAACGATTTATTGGCCTTGAGAGGAATTCTTGATTGTTTACTGGACTAACTGAAGCGAATTTATACCAAGTAAAAAATATTTTGTCGATTAAGTGAGTTTAAGTTGACCGAATAAGAAAATTTTCTCATCGAACTTTTACGTAATTGTGTTTCGGGATATAACATTTCGATAGCCTGACTTCATTTAATCCATCCAGAGTTATGTGATCGATTTTTGAAATTCTCAGGATCGCATCTGGTCTCATATACACAACTTTGCTTTAGATCGGATAATCAGGTTAGAAACACATGATATGGTTATGGTCAGGCGTTTAATTTGGAATTAAACGCCATTTATCATTTT